TGTGCTCATTCCTTTTGGGTATATACGTAGTATTGAGATTGCTGAATCATATGGCAGGTCCATTTCTCCTTTTACAATAAATCCGTGTTCTGTATTCCACAGTGGCCTCACTAGTTGACATTTCCACCAATAGCATATAAGAGTTCCCCTTTCCACATCCTCACCAACATGTGCTGCTCTCTGTCTTTGGATAATAGTCATTCTAGGCGGTGACGTGATACCTCATTCTGGTTTTGATTTGCATTCTCCTGATGGCTAGTGATACTGAACATTTGTTCATATATTTGTTGGCTACTTGTATTTCTTCTCTAGAGAACTGTCTGTTGAGGTCCTTTGCCCAAATAGTAACTGGATTGGTTGTTTTTTTACTGAATTTTTGGAGTTGTTGATATATTCTAGATAATAGTCGTTTTTTTGTATAAGTAGGTTGCAAATATTTTTCCTAATTTGTCAGATGTTAGAATAGAGAGCCTGAAAATTAATCTACTTAGATACAGCCAACTGTTCCCAAAGAAACATTTTATTTAAGGAATATAAATTTCATAAGTACAACTTTAGGAATATAGTGATTCTTTTCAACATACCCACCATCCCACCCACACTCCCACCCGTCCTCCTCTTCCTTCTCTCATTCCCAGTCCTATTCTCCATTAAGATTAATTTTCAATTAACTTTATACACAGAAGACCAACTCTATACTTAGTAAAGATTTCAACAGTTTGCGCACCCATACACACACACACACACACACACACACACACAAACTGTTTGAGAACAAGTTTTTCAGTTAACTCTCGTAATACAACTCATTGAGGACAATGGTCCTGCATGAGAAGTTAGTGCACAGTGACTCCTGTGGTTAATTTAACAATTAATGTCCATGAACACCTGTGGCTCTTGATATGTGCTGCTTAGGCTATGGAAGCCTTTTGTGACCACAAACTCCATCAGTATTTAGACAAGGCCATAAGCAAAGTGGAAGTTCTCTCCACTCTTCAGAGAAAAGTACATCCTTCTTTGATGGCCATTTCTTTCCTCTGGGGTCTTACAGAGATCCTTCATGTAGAACATTTGTTGCCACAGTGTCTTGGCTTTCTATGCCTGAAATGCTCTCATGGGCTTTCAGCCAGACCAGGATGCCTTAATTAGAAGAAAATGTAGGAAAAACACGTCATTACATTTGTGTTGATGATGACTTCTTGGAGTGCTACTTAAAGCAATTGTCATTCTATGAGTCTGCTGTGTGGACTACTTCCCATGTTGGAGCATTCTCTCCTTTATAATTCTATCTATTATTATTACCAGACACTTGATGCTATTTATATGATTACTTTAACACTTAATCCTATCTGTATGTTCACTTTAATACTTAATATGATCACTTTAACACTTAAGATGACATTTTTACCACTCAGCTTAATGGGATTAGGGGACCCATGGCAAGTATTTAAACTGTACCCTTAGAAGTATGTCCATAGGAATATATGCAGAACTATACAGCTTTACAGTTGCAAGCTTTCTCCTCCCTCTCTTATTTCCACTCTTACTTTTTACTGAGATGTATTTTCTTTTTTAAAGATGTATTTTATTTATTTGAAAGACAGAGTTACAGACAAAGATACAGAGAGAGAGGTCTTTCATCCTCTGGTTCACTCCCCAGGTGGCCACAATGGCCGGAGCTGCACCAATCTGAAGCCAGGAGCCAGAAGCTTCTTCCAGGTCTCCCACGTGGGTGCAGGGGCCCAAGGACTTGGGCCATCTTCTATGCTTTCCCAGGCCTAAGCAGAGAGCTGGATCAAAAGAGTAACTGCTGGGACAAGAACCAGCACCCATATGGGATTGCTGGCGTTTCAGGCCAGGGCTTTAACCCACTGCACCACAGCGCCAGCCCCTGAGATGTATTTTCAATTAACTTTATATAGATATGATTAACTCTATGTTAAGTGAGGAGTTCAACAAATAGTATGAAGGAAAAAAAAAAAAAAAAAAAACTGTCCGGAGACAGTCAACAAGGGCTGTTCAAGTCATTGCTTCTCGAAGTGTCAATTTCACTTCTACAGGTTTCCTTTTAGGTGCTCTATTAGTTATCACTGGTCAAGGAGAGCATTTGGTTTTTGACCCTTTGGGATTGGCTTATTTCACTAAGTATAATGTTTTTCAGATTCATCCATTTTGGTGCAAATGACCAGATTTCTTTTCTTTTTTTTTTTTACTGCTAAGTAGTATTCTGTGGTGTACATATCCCATAATTTCCTCTTGAAAAATGTCTGTTTAAGTCCTTTGTGCATTTCTTAACTGGGTTGTTTGTTTTGTTGTTGTGGAGTTTCTTGATCTCTTTATATATTCTGGTTATTAATCCTTTATCAGTTGCATAGTTTGCAAATAATTTCTCTTATTCTGTTGGTTGCTTCTTTGCTTCTTCACTTTCTTGAGTGTTTCTTTTGCAGTAGAACCTTCTCAGTTTGTCATAATCCCATTTATTAATTTTCAACTAAAGTGTCTGCACATTATTGGAGAAAGGATAATCTCTTCAGTAAATGGTGCTGACAAAATTGGATTTATATTTGTAGGGGAATGTAATTAGATCCCTCTTACTCAACATAGACAAAAATTAACCAAAGGTGAATCAACAACCAACATTTAAGATCTGAGACTGTGAAGTTACTGGAAGAAAATGTAGGGAAAACACTTTATTACATTGGTGTTGGTGATGACTTCTTGGATAAGGCAACAAAAGCAAAACTAGACAAATGGAATTATACTCAGAAGCTTCTGCAGGTAAAAGGAAATAATAGAGTGAAGAGACATCCAACAGAATGAGAAAAAATATTTGTAAGCTACTTATCTGAAATTTTCTTAAGAAATTGAAAAGCCTACAGCCTTTTTTTTAGAAAACTTATTTAATAAAAATATAGAAAGTACAACTTTTGGATTATAGCGGTTTTTCCCCCATAACTACCCTCCCACCCGCACACCATCCCATCTCCTACTTCCTCTCCTATCCCATTCTTCATTAAGATTAATTTTTAATTATCTTTATATATAGATGATCAGCTTAGTGTATACTAAGTAAAGATTTCAACAGATTGCAACCACACAGACACACAAAGTATGAAGTACTGTTTGAAGACTAGTTTTACTGTTAATTCGCATAGTACAGCACATTAAGGACTGAGATCCTACATGGGGAGTAAGTGCACAGTGACTCCTCTTGTTGATTTAACAATTGACACTCTTATTTATGATGTCAGTAATCACCCTAGGCTCTTGTCATGAGCTGCCAAGGCTATGGAAGCCTATTAAGTTCACAAACTCCGACCTTATTTAGACAAGGCCAAAACCTACAGCATTTTACCCCAGATGATATACAGTTGGTGTTTTGTGGACTGAGATCCAAATTTATGTTAATGTAATTTACAGAAAAGGAAACACTGGACTGCCCGTTGTGGTTTTTTTTTTTTTTTAAAGATTTTATTTTTTGAAAGGTAGAGTTACAGACATTGAGAGGGAGAGACAGAGAAAGGTCTTGCATCTGCTGGTTCACTCCCCAAATGAGTGCAGTGACCAGAGCTGAGCCGATCAGGAGCCAGGAGCTTCTTCCAGGTCTCCCACTTGGTGCAGGGGCCCAAGCTGTCTTCTTTCCCAGGCCATAGCAGAGAGTGCATTGGAAGAGGAGCAGCCGGGACTAGAACCTGTGCCCATATGGGATGTTGGTGCCACAGGTAGAGGATTAACCTGTGCCACAGTGCTGGCCCCTGCGCGTTGTGGTTGTGTTTGTGTGTGTGTGCGTGTGTGTGAGAAAGGGAGAAAGATCAAACATAAATATCATATGTTTACTATTCCAGAACTAGGGAAAAATGACGTATCTTCTAGGTCAGGCTTTTCATTAATGGACTCTTGATTAAGCCGAGTAACTGTTACAATAAAATCTTGCTAAATGTGGTAGTTTATATCAGGTCAAATAGTTCTTCTGTAACAGCTAAGTCCATGGGCAGTGCAGTTTTATAATAAGGGCTTCACAGTCTACCAGACCAGAAAAGAATTTGATTAACCTATTTTTCCTGTTGTTGGAGTTGGCAGTACATAGTGATAAAGTCTGTTTTCCAATGTAAATGTTAAATCCAACTTGTCTATTTCTGTTTCCCTGGAAAGCATTGTAAACTAGATTTTTGGTGTAATTTTTCTGAAATCTGCTTTATGTAGGTTTAGAAACATTGTTGTGTAATATCCTTTTACTGTTTTTCTCTATCTTCTGTTTCTTCTAGCTGCTTTGCTTAAACATTTGAAGCTCCCTACTGAGCTTGGATAATTTCTCTGATACTTGGAAAAGCCTTCACATAGTAAAACGATAAAGAGGAAATCATGCCTATACCATTTGAGATTTTATAGATGACAGAAAAGTGGACAGACATTCCAGTGACCCATGGAATATTAAACATTTTTTATTCTGTGGATTCTTATTAACATAGTGTATATTTTTATAAAAAGCTGTCAGTGTGCTAAGAGCTTAAAGATTACCTTTGAATCCTTAGCAGTTCTGAGTTTTTCACCTCATTTTATAGATTAAGAATATAGAGGCTTAGAGAGGAAATGTTTCGTTCCTGTGGTCGCAGAGGTAGTAAGTTGAGATGGAAAGTTTTAAATCTTGATTTTCTGACTCTAAAACCCTTGTTCTTAGGTTCTGCTGCCACTCCCAAGAGTGTTTGTTTAATAATTATGTTTATTTTTAAAAATCAGTGTTTCATCATAATTGTTGAAAAAAATGTGCTTGGAAAATTTAATATATGAGGTCTTATACTGCTGAACATTGAGATTTTACTAAGTAAGATTTTTAAGTTTCCTTGGGTAGTTCATTAAATAGTCCGTGTAACTTCAATGTTTATTGTCACTATGGATGCATTACTTTACCAGGTTTCTGCTTGTGGAATAGTATGTGAAATATTATTAAGAGGTCATATTTATTTTTTTATATGGTCCTAATGTACTTTTCTCTTTTAAAGGTATTATTATGATGGGGACATGATTTGTAAAGTTCAAGGCAAGAGATTTGTATACAAGTTTGTCTGTGACTTGAAGACTCTTATTGGATACAGCGCAGCAGAGTTGAACCGTTTGGTCACGGAATGTGAACAGAAGAAACTTGCAAAGATGCAGCTTCATGGGATTGCCCAGCCGGTCACAGCAGTAGCCCTGGCTGCTGCTTCTCTACAAACAGAAAAGGATAACTGAGGCCCAGTGCCTTCTGGGAGTCCAAGATCTTTCTTAAATATTTAGAGCAAGTATTGCTCTTATCTTTATTACTGAATTTGGATCTTCTCTTATTTCTAGACTGTACAATCCAGTGCATGATTTTTTTATAAATATTTCATACTCTTGTGAATTTGGATCTTTTTACTTTGAGCATATATTTTAGAATATATGTATGTTAAAGAATCACCACAATATCTGCCGCGTGAAAGCGGGCCCATTGTGGGATAGTTTGTTAACAGTTAGGAAAGCTAAAGTGGTCAGTATTAATGTCTAGCCCTACCAAAAATAGCCAGTAGCATCTGAAGATGAAAAATAAATAAGTATCTCCAGGAAACAGTCTGGCTTAACTATTTTTGAAAAAATAACTTTCCCCTCTCTGCTGCTTTAGATGTAGCTTTACATAGAACCAGAAAATGGAGTTTCTTAGCTAGAGCATTTGCGCCTGTTTCATCTAATCAAGCAGAGCTAAAATGTTCATATCAAATAAAATTATAATATTAATAAATTACTAAACTAAGTATCAGGTTATTAAAGTAATTTATATATTTGCAAGCAAAGTTGACTGGCAAAGAGCAGTTCTGATGGAGATCCAGGTTTAGATGTGGCTTAACTCAGCCAGTGACAGATTTTTCTGTATAGATTATTCATATTGTCAAGCCAAGAATTTAAATTATTTTGAAAGAGACATTTAATTCTAATAAAGCAGCCATTCAAAAATTCTAAAATGATCTCTGTTTTTCTATCAGAGATTTAAAAAACTGAAAAGGTATATACCTCAGCCAGAAAATACATTTGTTTGGTTTAGCATGGCTTCCTTTTTCTTTCTTTTTTTTTTAATTACTCTATAGTAGCAGCTTATTAGGCAGAACAGCTTATATATTCCGTGTTTCTGATAAAGTGAAGACTTTAAATCAGTCAGCAGTGCTTTACCTTTCAAGATACTAGTAATTACAATAGGAAAATTGGACCTCCATTATAGGTAGTCTTCTCTTTACAACTTCCCATTTATTTTTTTCTTTTGAGTATTACATATGTTTGTACAAATATCTATGTACATGTGCAGTTTGCCACTTTGTATGTGCACTTAAACACATTTATATGAAGACATAACGATACCCAAAAAGAAAATCATTAAACCATTTTGAAAACTAACTAGCTCCTATATAAATGAAGTTCCTTACCATGAGCTAACATACTAAACACAAACAGCTAGAAAATTTTTTTCTTTTCATTTCTTTTTACTATTGTGTGTTTGTTTCCAGGTATTAATATAAATAAAGACAAGAAAGACTGCAAATAACTTTTAATCCTCTTACAAAGAAGATTGATTCTCAAATATTACTTTATGCATCTTCATCATTTCATTAAATCCATAGCCCAGAACAGCTTTAGAGAAGCTTAGTTAATGCTTTTCACTAATTAGGAGGAAATGGCGATGATGTTGTTAGAAGTTGCTGCTACCAATACTAGGCAGAGAGCTCTGATCTTTTCTGCTAATCTTAAATCATAATTTTAAGTGCTGTGTTATTGGACTGCGGTTATATTGTCCATTTATATTGCTATCTTAAATTCAAGATTCTGCAGTAGTTCTAAAAAGAATAAAATTTGTAATTTCCATTGTTACTTCTTTATAAGCACATAAAGAATAGACTGACAAATTGTTAGTAAAATTGGGCACTTTGGTTGCAAGAATATCTCAACAGAATAATATTAAATAATATATTGAAACCCCAGCTTTGGATAACAAATAGCTAAACAGGATCTGTTTATGACCTATGGAGTTGATTAATCAATTTAAAAACATAGTAAAGTATACTCTTTTGGTATATTATTAGGAGTATAAGAATATTGACTTTTAGATTAAAATGTTTTTGGGAAGACATACTAAAATTTTAGCCAAGATAACAAACTTCCTTTATGTCTCACTTACATGTATTTAGGTTTTTAAGGCAAAGAATAACAGATTTCTTTAAGATCTCCAAAATCAAACTGTTGTTTCTTTTTCTCCTTTAGCCATTACTCAAATGCCTTTTTTTTCCTTTTGCAGTTTTTGTTTCATTCCTCATAATATGAACAGAGACTTTCACACATGATCAGATGCTGTTTCTTTTCTTCACCTCTGTCATGCCATCATCTTCTGTACCCTGACATAAGTAATGTGACTAATTGACTACAGAAAACTGTCAGTACTTTGTGTCAAGTATTTCCATTGTCCTTATTGAGGTTACAGGTATCAGAAAGCCAGTTAGTCTTCTATTAAAAGATAACGTGTTGTAAGAAAATAAAATTCATGCTATTCCAAAGGAAGAAAGATAAAATCATTGATGGGCCTTTGTATCTTACAAGAATAATGAAATTTTCACTTCTGTGTTAGAACTGTTTTTCCCTGTGAGGTTTTCTTTGAGCCAATTTTCAAATATACCTTGCTAGCCTGAATTCTGAAATGTGAGTTGGTATCAGAAAATCAAGCTAATTAGGCAGAATTTCTGAGTGTGGTTGATCTTCACATGGGTCAACTGATAACATTCATCTTTTGTCATCCACATCGTTTAATTAGGAAAAATTGATTGTTTTCTCCCAAGACTAAAGGTGATACAAAGTATATTTCTTCAAAAGGTTCTGCTTTGATAGTGAGTGAGGTCTGTTTTCCTTGTTCATCATTTTATGCTACTGCCTCTTAAAAAGGACTAAAGTATATGTATCTTGGGATAGCACAAAAACATTTTAAAGTTCACAATTACGAAAGAAACCTATGAATAACTTAATGTCTTCAGACCTAAAGAGTGTAAAGAATACTAAAGCTTCAATATATCACTTGCCAGGAAAAAACATTCTCAGTCTTTTGTAAAAGGGAGAAAAATTTTTGCATACATTTTTACTCTTTAAATAAAGACACTTATACTGTCATAATAACAATTATGTATTTCTTTGTGGTTTTTATTTTTACTGTAATTTTACATAAGACAGTTATTTTCTATTTTTACTCAGATAAAAGTATTTGTGCATAAAATGTAAAAAAATAGTAAAATGAGAAAAATAAAATATACAGTATGTTTCCATGTTGTTTAAAGGGTTTTTTTCCTGGAAACAAATTCCCAGAATGTTTGGTTGGATGAAACTTGACAGTCCATTTGTGGTGTATTATTTCTTTGTATTTCTTTACTTAAAAATGATCAATTTGGGAAGAACAGATCCGTTGAACTGAAATTGTTGGCACAGAGTAGTCCCATTTTAAGAAAATCAATGAAGCCCCCTCTACAAAGCCAGTTTTAGAATAGTGGCAGGTGAATTGGAAAGACTAAGTACTTGTGAGAAGGCAAGCTGATGATTGTTAACCGTAAATGTTATGTCTAATCTTTTTCAAATATAACTTAAATCTGTTCATGTTGGCTGCAGTTCAGGAAGAGCCAGAGAACAGAGGATGGAAGGGGTGAGGAAAAATGACGGTGCCTTTGTGTGTGGTTAAGCAGTGGTTAAAGGTTGACATGCTTAAATAAGAAATTATAGTTTGAGTGAAATGAATTGCTTTAAAAATAGTTTAATTTTATATTTGAAGTGATGAAAGTTTGAAGTGATGAAAGCCATCCGGACCTTAGTGAGATTTATGAGGGTATTTCAAAATGTTTATGGAAATGGAATTAAATGGTAAGTTTATTTTGATGGAAGATATTTTGAAAGCCACTTGTTTTGTAATGCACTCTTCCAGGAGTTTTTTGAAGTACCCTTATATTTGTTTTTCCAGGACTTCATTTTTTTTACAAACTATGGCTTTAAATTAATTTGCAAGCCAAACACCTGTTTTAACATGCTTTTTGTGGTGAACTGACTGCTTTACAGTACTACTTTTAAAACTTTCTGTGGGGGCCTGCACTGTAGCATAGCAGATTCAGCTGCCATATGAGCACTGGTGCAAGTCCTCACACTTCTGATCCAGCTCCCTGCTAATTACCTGGGAGAGCAGTGGAAAAAGGCACAAGTACTTGGGCCCCTGCACCCACATGGGAGACCCAGATGAAGCTCCTGGATCCTGGCCTCGGTCTGGCCCATCTCTGGCCTTTGGGGCCATTTGGGGGGTGAACCAGCGGATGGAAGACTCGCCCGTCCTCTGTATCTCTTGCCTTTCAAATAAAATAACTTAAGAAAACAAATTGGTAAAAGCCACGTTTTTGCTTTCCGATTTTCACAGACAGAAACTTGTGAAAAAATAGGTAGTGGGGAGGGAGAAATGAGTTATTTGTTAATGGGTATAGTTTCAGTTGTGTACTATGAAAAATGAGATTGGTTGCACAATGAAACTACCTAGCAGTACTAAACTGCTTTAAAATGTTTCAGATGGTAAATTCTGTATTATGTGTAGGAGTATTTTACTACAATTGAATTTTTTAGATGAATTCCTAGAATTTTAAAAGTCAATATAATTTACCAAATTAACTATAAAGGGGAATGAGGGACATGGTCATGATATAAAGCAGACTAGAATTAGAAAAGACCTTGTAAACCTAATGAAAGATACCCATGCAGAATGGATTGTGCCTGTCCCCATTCAGTCCTGCAAAGATTTAGGAAAAGGGAAAGAGATCTGCTGTCACCGTTTAACACTGAAATAAGGCAAGAAAAATGAAAAGCACACATATTGGAAGAAGTACAACTGTAGAAGGCATCCTCATAATGACAGAAATCCTAAAGAATTAATGGTTACTATGATTAAATCCATTAAGCCAGGTAATTACTTAAAATTACACTATAGGTGGTAATACACGAGGTCCCCGTACAAAATTCAACTTCATTTCTACATACTGCTATTTCAATTAGAAGTTGAAATTTTAAATTCACTGTTTACATACTATTAACATGAAATGGAAACAGCAAAATTTATGTTAAGACCTATCCAGTGAAAACCACAGAAACTTGCTATGAAATTAAAGAAAATTTAAGTGGGAAGAAATATAATTGTGGAAAGGAAGATTCAATTTGTAAATTTATGTTTTACATTCCAAAATGTAAATTCTGTACGGGCTAATTGCCCCTAACTTGACCAAAGGGTAATTGCAATCAAAATTCTGGCAGTCTTATTTTGCTGATTATAAAATTTATATGTAAACATTTTTAAAAATTGGTAAACTTGCACTTTGTAACACTTGCTATATAAAGCTAAAGTAATCAAGATTGGAATTGAGCTAAGAATAGATACATAGGGGACCAGTGTTGTAGCACAGCTGGTTAGGCTGCCACTCGTGATGCCATGGGGGTTAAAGCATCAAATACTGGCTGCTCTGCCTCCAGTCCAGCTTCTTGCTAACGCACCTGAGAAGGCAGCAGAAGATGTCCCTGCCAGCCTTGTGGGAGACCCTTACAGAATTCCTAGCTCCTGGCTTCAGCCTGGCCAGCCATTTGGGGAGTGGCCGGTGGATGGAAGATATTTCTCCCTCTGCCTTTCAAATAAATTTTAAAAAGAAAAAATAGACCTATAGAGATATGGCTAATTGATTTTTCACAAAGGTAGTAGAAAGAGAAAAGATGCTCATTTCAACCAATGTTAGGTACATATAGATGACAGATATGGAGAAAAATAAACCTAAACCCTTATCCCATGCCACACAAAAATTAATTCAAAATGGATTATTGGCCTAAACCTGAAAGTTCAAACTAAAAGTTCATAGATAAAGCCAGGAGAAATGTGTTGTGACCTTGGTGGGTAGACAAAGATTTCTTAGGTAAAACATTTTTTAAAAAAAAATTTTTATTTGAAAGCCAGAGTTACACGAGAGAAAAGGAGAAGCAGAGAGAGGTCTTCCACCCACTGTTTCACTCCCCAGATGGCCACAATGGCCGGAGATGCACCAATCCGAAGCCAGCCCAGGAGCTTCTTAGAGATCTCCCACGTGGGTGCAGGGACCCAAGGACTTGGGCCATCCTCCACTGCTCTCTCAGGTCATAGTGGGGAGCTGGATTAGAAGTGGAGCATCCAGGACTCGAACTGGCACCCATATGGGATGCTTGCACTACAGGCAATACCCATTATGGCACAGTGTCAATCCCTAGGTAAAACATTAACAAAGCAAAACCAGGGAGTGAGTGTTTAGGCTAGTGGTTAAGATGCCCACATCCGTATTAGAGTACCTGGATTAAATTCCCAGCTCCCGCTCCCTGCCAGTTAAGACCTTGAGAGGCAGTAGTGATGGCTCACGTAGAGACCTGAACTGCATTCCCTCCTGACTTCAGCCCAGGCCGGCTCCAGCATTGCAGGCATTTAGGGAATGAACCAGTAGATGGGTGCTTTCTGTGTTTCTCCCTGTCAAACAAAACAAAACAAAGCCAGTACCAATTTTATCAAAAAAAGTTTAAAAACCTTTGTTCTTTGAAAGATCCTGTTAAAATGAAAGGGCAAGACACAGATTGGGAGAAAATGTTTGAATATGCATATCTTACAAAAATATCCTTCAATAATCCAGTAATGTGGATTTCAACAGACTTAATAAAAAAAGATGCACTTGTACTTAAAAATGTCGCTGTGGATTTGTTCTGAGAGGAGGAGCATGGTGGGGGCAAGAGGCGTGGAGTCACCACGCAGACCCTGGGAGTTGGGTGAAAGTGGGCCAGAGGCGAGCAGCCCGCAGACTCGTTTATTTCAGTTGGTACAGCTCCCAGTTCAATGAAGGACAGAGTGAAAAGACTGAAGTCGTACAAAGCATAAACCACATGCCCTGGGCTGATGATGATATAAAGAGCGCTTCTCAGAGGAAGAGAGACTGAGGTCTGGGTGAGGAGAGGAGCCAGCTCCATCCTTTTACACTACGCTATGGAAATTGGGCTTGTGTTCTGAGGACAGCGAGAAGCCATGAAAGCATTTTAGAAAGTAGTTTGATGGGGTCCAGTTTCCACACTAGTGAGCTGTGTTGCTTTGTGGTAATTTGGTACTATTATTTCTTGAGAAGTAGTTGCAAGTCCAGAGTTCATACATGTATTTGTTATTGTTGTTTCCACTTACGAAGTATTTTTCAGGAATGCTTCTCCTCTGTAGACTGTAGTATAAATACAAACCTCTTTTCTTCTCTAGTGTTTAAGAAAAATGCATCTTTTTTCTTACTTATATACTACTATAGTAGTCATGATATTGTGATTATTTTAAATTTTACTCTATATGAGTGAAGCTGAACATCTTTCTATTTGTTGTTGTTTATAGCCTCTGCCTATTTCCCTGCTGGACTATGGTGTTCTTTCACTTCTTATTTACTGAGCTTTTTATTTGGTAGAACCATTAAGCCTTTGACTATAGTGTAAATTTAAAATGGTATCCCAAAAATAAACTAATAAGTTGGGGCTGGTGCCACGGCTCACTAGGCTAATCCTCTGCCTGCGGCGCCGGCACTCCGGGTTCTAGTCCCGGTCAGGGCGCCGGATTCTGTCCCGGTTGCTCCTCTTCCAGGCCAGCTCTCTGCTGTGGCCTGAGAGGGCAGTGGATGATGGCCCAGGTCCTTGGGCTCTGTACCCACATGGGAGACCAGGAGGAAGCACCTGGCTCCTGGCTTCAGATCGGTGCAGCGCGCCGGGCGTAGCGGCCATTTGGGGGGTGAACCAACGGAAGGAAGACCTTTCTCTCTCTCTCTCTCTCTCTCACTGTCTAACTCTGCCTGTCCAAAAAAAAAAAAAAAAAAAGAACTTATAAGTTAAAAAATTAAACAATCATGCCCCTTTAAAAATTTTTTTTTTAATTTAAAGACTGCAGGGCTGGCATTGTGGTACAGTGGGTTAAGCCACTGCCTACAACACTGGTATCCCAGATGAGTGCTGGGTAGAGTTCTGGCTGCTCCACTTCCTATTCAGCTTCCAGCAAAATCACTGGGGAAAGCAGTAGAAAGTAGTCCAAGAGCTTGTGCCCCTGTCACTCAAAAGTGAGACCCGGATGGCGCTTCAGGCTCCTGGCTTCCGCCTGGCCCAGCCCTGGTTGTTACTGGGGTTGAACCAGCAAATGGAAGATATCTCTATCTCTCCTCTCTCTGTGACTGCTTTTCAAATGAATAAAAATAAATCTTTTTTAAACGTTTTTAAATGTAAGTTTG